CAGCCTCAGTGTCTGTATCTGTTGATACCAATTGTGTTAATGGGGGTCTTGAATTAAAAACAGCACCTGTAAATCACCAAACATGGCATCTGGAGCACTGTGAGCATAAAACATTGTTTATTATTATTCTTATTTGACATTCAATTCTCAGTGCTGTTGAAATTTCTAGGCATATACTAAGGTTCAACAACAAAAATAACTGGTTTTTATAAATCATTTGGCACAAAAGTCATGGGATCAATTTCAACCGTGAAAAACGTTGAAAAATGAAATCTGGCAGCTTATAGTTGTACTATTAAAAATGATCAAATGTAAGTCTAAAATATTGAACTACTCCATGTACAGAAGATGAATATTTTTGGTCACGGCAGCTGGTCATATTGTTTCTAGGGTTTCCGTGCCAAGAGTTGTAGGTGAAATGTTTCATAATAAAATATAGATTACTTGACCATTTACAGAACATTTATGTAAATAATCAAATTTCATCTCTAACCTTTGAATGAAACCTCTGATCTAGCAATTCTGAATTTCCTAAGGTGAACAAAGTCACTGTATTACCACTTTTAAATAAAGTACAGATTGTTTATTAAGGCACATCATAAAACTTTAGAAAAATAGTGTATTTTTTCCCATACATGCAAATCTAAAACATTTCTGTGTAGATGACTACTCAAGTGAGAACATAAGTTAGACAGTGACCATTACCACTTTACTATCCAAACTGTGTTGTGTATAGAATGAAAATGCTCAAACTTTCGGTTTTATGACCCTTTCACACTCTTAAAAATAATCATAGATAACCCCAAGGAATTTTTGTTTTTATAGGTTGTATCTATTGAGTTTCTTATATTCTAAATTAAAATAGGAATTAAAAATAGTTATGTATTAATTTCTTCTTAAATAATAAATCCATTACATGTTAATGTAAGTAACAGAATGCAAAGTGACTGTATTTTCACAAACAAAAAATTTAACGAGAAGAGTGACATTATTTTATTCCCCTTATACCTACCATTGCTTTGATTTAATACTGTTTTTTTATTCCTCCATTCTTCTGCAAATTTCTCCATATAATGGTATTAAAAATCTCTTTAAAAATGAACTTTTATGATGAGATTGTTTATTCCTCTAAATTAGTAATCAATGTTTGAATTAAATAGTACCAGTTATCTTTGATAAATCTTTTCCTAACTTTGTTATTTATTTATTGGTATTGGGACTTGAACCAAAGGGCACTTCACCACTGAGCTATATTCCTGTTCCCTTTTATTTTGAACAGGTCTCACTAAGTTGCCAAGGCTGGCCTTGAACTTGCAATCTTCCTACCTCCGCCTCCTAAGCAGCTAGAATTACAGGCTTGTGTCACTGTAACTGACTCACATTTATACTTTAAAAAAAATTATCAATCTTTAGGAAAATAAAACTAAATATGGGAATAACAGTATCCATATTTATTTGCATAATTTTCCCATTTCCATTCTGAACAAGGCATTTAGTGAAAGGTAGAAGCATAAGAGTTCTAAATAAAAATGTTGTCCATTAAAGTCATCCTTACTGCTTGATATTCTTAGAGTACTACGGAACAACACTGATTAACACAGAAGAATATAGAAATTGAAACCCAAAGTGAACTGGGGTCTAATGTTCATATTTTTAGAAACCTACACAATTTTGGATCTGGGATACATAAGCTATCTTAATTGCATTTGTCAGGCAGAATAATATGATCTTTAAAATAAGCAGTTATAAATTGGGAAAAGTGCCCAAAGTAAACAAAACAGGCACAGGGACAGAGAAAATGTGGTAGTGGACATTACGGGAAACTAGAGTCTTCCTAGTCAAAGTGTTGTCCCTGAACCTGAAGCATCAACATCACTGAGACATCTTTGACATATACACAACTTCAAGCTCTCTGATCTCAGACCTACTGGACTAGAATCTGCCTTTCAAAGAAGACAGCTAATGTTCACTGAAGTTTAGAGTAGAAGTTGTGAAGCAGTCAGCTTTATGAAGAGCAGGGAAAAAATATTCAGATAGAGGTAATGACAAAAAGAAAGCCATGAGGCAGGAAGGAGTCTGGCTTCTTGAAGGTGCAGAAGGGCCAGTGTGGCTGAACCCTAGTGAATGGGAGGGATGGGATTAGTGAATGGTAGATGTCATGCTACTACTATTATCAGGTCTATGCAAATGGTGCTTATATATTTTATAATAAAAATTCTTAATTTCAAAACATTATTATTTTTGGTTATAGTCTAGTTATGTTTCTCCAGTAATCATTAAAGACCTAAACAACAGAACCTATATGTTTGTGTTCTGTGAAGGCAAATAGTATAGGAACTGAAGTATTACCATATTCTGAAACTACCATAGGGGTAAAGAATAAGAACACTTCAATGGGTGGTGGCAGATGGTGGTGACTTTCTGGGTTCCTGGGGCCTCCAGTGAGGAAAGCATACTGTATCAGCAAGTTCTAGAACTGGTTTTGGACTGCATCTTAGAAGGCCTGGGCCCATGGGCTCGGATTTCTCTATCCTCTAGTTATATCTCCACTTTAGGTGCTTTTCAGAAACTATTTCTTCAAGATGTACACCATAGGTATCCTCCCCTTTTCTACTGGGAATTAGATTTCCACATCTCTCATTATGTTAGTTTCCCTATTGTCAATCCTGTTGCGGGTGATGCCTGAAACTGGCAGTCGGAAGGACAGGGATTTTACTCAACCACTAGTACCCATGGACTTCAAGTGGATCCTTATGTCTATGCAACCAGTGTTTCAGTGGCTTTCATGAAAGTTCCATTAAGAGGCTGTCTAATATTGATTAGGTCTAGCAAAGCACTATGCCTCCCTCAACCCCTATGAAACTCCATTAAGTTCTTTTGGTCTTTCAATGCTGGACAGATTCCAGCTCTTTTAAATATTGCTTCTTTTATCCAACATAAGTATGTTTTTTTTTTTTTTTGCTTTGTGACATTTGAGAGTTTAATTAGAACGAGTTGCTTTCAATATGAAGGTTCACTGTTCTGCCTTCTCAGCACAGATAGATGCTCTAATTTCCAGCCACTCACCCTGATTTTCTGAATTGCCTTGTGTTCAAGTAATTGAAAGCTGCTGACAGCCAAGTGAGGTCTCTAAATCTGTTCCTTTTGAACTTAGTGGTATTAAAGCTTATATCAAATGACTAGTTGAACAATTCAGCTTTCTCCAAGTTTCTAAGTCAACTACCAAGAGGACTGCAAGGGTCAAAGACAAGATATTAGTGGTGACATAAGACTGGCTTAGAGTGTGTGCAGAGCCAGGCTATGGCAACCTATGTGGCTGCAGGAAAGAGACAGAGCTGTAGATTGCCTGTTCCCAAAACTAGTCTGGCATGAGGTGTAGCCGGTGAAGGGCAGAGGCAGGAATTCATACTCATGTGTGACAGGAGCTCAAAAGACATATCTACAATGTCAGTCATGGGCTAAGACCTGTGGGACTCCAGAAAAAGCTGTTTGTCTCTGGGAGGTTGTAAAGAGGGCCACAGTCTGGCTGAACATCTCTTGACAAAAGTTAGTTCTTAGGAAGACCCAGTCAAGGTTCCACTTCCTACCGAAAAAACAACTTTTCTTTGCTGATTTTTAGGTTATAAACCTCTTCATTGTGGTACTTGGTCTATGTAAGAAATGTGAACACAAATGGCAAAACATCCATCATGACCTTAGCAGGAATAGATGAGGTTGAATTCAGTTTCCACTGAGCATTGACTCAATGATGAAAGAGTAGTATCTAAGAGAGTATAATTAGGAAGAATTTTTGAAAAACATCAGTCTTATAAGGATAATTACCTTTGAGTACCTCCCCTCCCCCATAAATAATGTTTTCTTTGCACTAGAAAAAATGAAAGAAAAACTATAGACAGAATCATATTGTATGGTGTGGTATTACAATATCAGGAATGGTTGAGACTTTTTCTACTTTCCAAAGTCTGAACATTTGAATTTGAATTTTGCTAAACTATTCTACTTTTTAAAAGTGAAGTTTTTCAGATCCATGGTTTCCAGTGCCCTTGCTAGGAACAGGGGAGGGGAGCGGTGAGGGACATTCTTGCTATCTTTGGTTATGGTAGGGATGGATCTAAGATTTTATAACTATGTCAAAACTTGTCAAATTAGAGAATTGAATATTTACAGTTGGCTATCAATCATATACAAAAAAGCTGTTTTTAAAAAGTGAGGCTTTTTTTTGCCTAGTATATTCAAATTTGTTTAATAAAGAATTTATATAATTCTTCACAATGAGATATGGGACAAGATCCTGATAACATTGCCTTAGTAATCTCAGGATAAAAGCTTCTTCTCCTGAGATTCCTCATTTCACAGAGAAAAGCATTTCAGTGAAGCATTGAGCATAAATATTTCTTAAAGAATTGTGAACCAAATGTTAACAGCAATAGAAAGTTAGAAATGAATTTCTATAAAATAAATGGACCACATTTTATCCTTAAAAGACAATGTTGGATTTTCATCTTGAAGTTTTAAAAATTGTTAGCTAAGCAGATGCTTCTCTTTTTGCTTATAAAAACACTATATGCTTTGATACATATCAAATATTAAAAACAGTATAATGGCAACATATATATACTGTAGCACCTTAGAAAAATTGATCTAATTTTGCAAGAAATACCCAAGTGAGTTTACAACTGCTAGTCATTTGAAAATAGCAAATAAATTCTAGCTGGAAAATACCATTAAGAGTATAATTGAAGGTCTGGTTAATTGTTTTGCTGTGAAAGATTTATGGCTGAACGTTTCTCATGATATTACATAGACGAATGCCAATGCAATGTTCAAATATAAAATTAAATTAAGATATATATATATTAAATAAAATTAATCCAGAAGAAATTGAAATAGGAATAAGATTATTGGTATCTATAGTAGAAAATGTTTGTAGCAGAAAAGTCAATATATCCTTTCATTTCTGGCTTTAGACAGGCTGACTGGTATGAAACATTGGCACTTACTTTCCGATTGTATTGGGCAGCATTGTAAGTTGATTGTCATCTACTTTTAGAGTAGTCAGTTTTTTCAACAGTCCTAAAACAGAGAATAAGGTTTATTAATACATCAGCGTATTTATGACAGGAAATGTCACATAAAAGAAATCAAAGGAATCACTTGTGATAAATGATTGGCATGCTAACTGGCTGCATTCTGCTTCTATAAAACCATAAATTGATACAGTATTTGTTTGTTGTATACTTTTGAATGTCTTTTGAAAAATTCACTTATAGGAGTTCAAGAACATTGATGCAGTAAACAAAACCGAAAGCTCTATATACATTGTATTGATACAGATACCACTACTACATTTCCCCAACCTATTCTTCATCAAATGGATAAGTTGAAATGTTTCAAGCCTGCTATTATTTAATATTTAATTTACTAATAAATACTAATAACTAACATCCATGTTATGATGCAGATTGAACACACGTCTGAATAAAGCCTAATAACCCATGAATGCATACTAAGGCACTGCAATGCAGTGCTCACAATGAAGGACTTGGAAAATGATACCATATGACTTCATATTCTGCTTGATATCATAAATCCTGGACTTGGAGCATTTTTAAACTCAAATCTCATTATTTTAATATGCCAACAGAACCAGCCAGGAACTGAAGTTACAACTATTTATCTTTCACTCTCTGATTTAAGGTCTCCAGACTTGCTGAGTTTAATAATGTCTTAGTCTACATATAATCATGCACAAAACAAGAATAAACATAGATAATAATGCCACATTTCTAATCCTGTTTTGTTAAATTAAGTTACATAATAATAATAAAACAACTAGAAATCTATTTAATATCATTTTAATTTTTGGTTTAATATTTAAAATATTATATCCTAATTTATAATTTTACACACATCTCAATTTCAGTAACACTTTTAAATATACTTTTATAAGTGCTTTTTAAAATTAGTTCTAATCAGTTATACATGACAGCAGAAAGCTCTTTGATTCATTGTACATAAAGGCAGCAGAATTTTTCACTTCTCTGAAAAAAGTCACACCATTTGTGTAATCATACATGTATCGAGGGTAATGATGTCCATGTCTCCACCATCTTTCCTACCTTCATGCCTCCTCCCCCTCCTTCCTCTTTGCCCCATCAAAAGTTCCTCTATTCATTCCATGCCCCTCCCCTGCATTATGGATTAGCATCCACTTATCAGAGAAAACATTCGGCCCTGGGTTTTTGAGATTGGCTTATTTTGCTTAGCATGATATTCTCCAACTCTGTTTTTTTTAAAAGAGAGAGAGAGTGAGAGAGAGAGAGAGAGAATTTTTAAAATATTTATTTATTTTTTTAGTTTTCGGCAGACACAACATCTTTGTTTATATGTGGTGCTGAGGATTGAACCCAGGTTGCATGCATGCTAGGCAAGCGCGCTACCGCTTGAGCCACATCCCCAGCCCCAGGTTTTGTTTTAAATTGGAGCTACACCTATATACAATAGATTACTGTGTCCGGAAGATACTTTGTTCTGAACTACATTAAGTTCCATGGTCAAATATATTTTGAGAAATGCTAAATTAAACAAAATCATATGGCTTTGTTTAAGGAGGAAAAGAGCTCTTGATATGCTCATTCAACAACATGACTTTCCAAAGTTATTGTAGAGTGTGTGTGTGTGTGTGTGTGTATGTGTGTGGTTAGAATATGGTTTTTTTTTGTTTTTTTTTTTTTGGTGTTGCTGGGGATTGAACCCAGAGCCTTTGTACATGCAAGGCAAGTACTCTACCAACTGAGCTATTTCTCCAGCCCACATATAGAATATCTTGAAGAACTATAGTTTGTGAACATGCTTTTAGGTCATATCTATCCCCTCTCAAGTTTTTTGAGGATTCTTTAAAGGCAAGAGTAAGTCATATAACTGAAATAAAGCTGTGTTTCACTTTAAATTTCAGTATACTAAATTACATTTTCTTCAGAAGCAGAGACTTTCTCTCCCTGGAGAGAGAGAAATGTTACCACTATCAGTCTACTGTGAGAAAATATCCACAGAATTTGGAGCTTAATAACATCAACTCGAAAGCAACTGCACCTGGGAAAGAGGACAATTCATATGGTGGTAATTTATCTCTGAAGTTTGAACACCCCACTGCTGTATTCATTTATGTTCAAAAGGTGATTGAATCATTCAGCTTCTCCTAGTGCATATGATAAAATACCAACTTTGTAAATATAAGAGAACACCTGAGCTCTTTTATCAGTTGTGGAAAGTAAACATGGGACTATGAATTACAGTTAAATTTTTATGAGTTGGTAACCCTGATCAGATAGATTATTGCTCCTGCCTATGAGTGATGCTAGAGGAGGGCCACAGTCTTGACATCACTGGATGGGTCATCAGAGGCTACTGGATGGGTTATATAAGGCCAAACAAATGCCACATAATTAGGTCACTAAGCTCTTTAAGAAGATCCCGCAGCCAACTGATCTAGAGTCATGGTGACAAACTCTGAGGCAGGTCAGGGACTAAGGCCAAATGTTGGTGCAACCGATTTTTCTGAAGATTGGAGTAAGGGCTCTGACCAGAAGCTTCTGCAGATTTACAATTTGAAGCAAGTTGGACCTCCCCGCTTAGTTCCACCTCTCTAGATTTATAGGAACCTCTCTTATTTGTGATGTGGCTTTAACACTCCTGGGCCATCCACAGGGACACACTGTTGGACTGATTCTAGAACTTCCCTGGGAATCTGATCATGGGCACCAGTCTCACTCATTGCTCATGTATTTTTCTGCCAGATTATTCCTGTATTTCATTTTCTTTTTTTTTTTTGATTTTAAAATTTGTTTTAATTAATTATACATGACAGTAGAATGCATTTATGCATTTTGATATATCATACATAGGTGCCATATAACTTGTCAGTGTATTGTATTTCACTTTCATTTTATATCTTCTTGTACTTTCTTCTACTCCATGCGAATTAAAGTTATTTTATCCTATTCCTCTCTGTACTTGAAACCTCCCTCAATTATCCCTTTATCTTATATTCCAGTTATGAACTTCTGGATGAAAAGGTGGACTATCACTGCAATTTTAGCTACTCTTATATATAAATATATAAATAGTATTGATGTATTCAACCTTTATATGATTTGTTATTAAAACAGTTTATATTCACTTGGCATTTATACACGTTATAGAAAGTTGAAAGCAAATATCTATGCACTCTTAAAATCTAAGATGATAATAATTATTATGTTATTATAGTAGCTGAAATTGATAGGTACTTACTATGACAAGGACTGTTCTGACCAAACTTACATATATTAATTAATTCTTTCCTCAAAATAATATCATTATTCAAGTTGTACCACTACTCTCACTTAATAGATTATGAAACTGACACACAGAGAAATTATGTAACTTGTCTAAGGTCGCACAGCTAGTGAGGAAGAAAAAATAGAATTTGAACCAGATAATCTGAGTTACAAAGCCTTAATTGCTAAGTGACTAAGATAAATTATTTTGAAAAGTGAAAAATTATGTTCTCCTTTATTCAGTTTCTCTATTATCCAAAGAAGCTGATTATTGAAACTCTCTACCTAGAAGAGGAAAAAAGTACTCTTCATTTTCCCTGGATCCAGTACAAGAAAGGGGATTAAGCATACTGGGCTTGTTGTCTGTCATTCTATTCAAACATCCCACAGCTGCAGAAGGACACAGGCCTGCTAGAAGGAAAGATTTTATTTTCTGTGTTATTTCTTTATATTATGAAAATTCTTATCTTTTATTCTTTTAAATGTTGGTAGTTCAGTAGATGATTTCTACCCAAATAAGCAAGACAAGATGCAATTTGCATCTATGAATTATTCTAGAGCCACAGAACAGAACACTCAGTGTCCCGTCCAGATATTTCTCTTGGCTAAGAAGGGAATTCTCTGAGGAAAATCAGCCTTTCTACATCTATAATCAGGTACTGTGGCAATGCTGCAGATGTTCAAGTACAACTTCCCCTGCAGTTTCAATAGGGTCCAAAGACAGTTTGAGGGGCAAGTTTCTGTAATGGAATCACAAGACCCATTCAGATATGAACTGAAGGCGTCAACTGTCATACCACGTGCCTGCCTTCATCTGCTTTATCCCAGCCCAGTGTCTAGCCAAATATTCTTCATTACTCATACAAGCTGCTTTTCTCAGCTCAGAAAGCCGGATTCCTAGTCTGCTTTCTTAAAGGGAGCAAATAATCATATCATGTTAATAATGTTTCATTTTCTACCACTGTCTTAAAATCAAATTTTGTGTGTTTTGTTTTAGATGGTTCTCATAATCAGAATATAGTTGAACTGAAATACATATTGTATGAAATATTGATTTTTAAAACAAGCTTAATTCATTATATTTGTTGAGGTTTAAGATAAAAAAATCTGATTTCAATTTTATGTTTTCCATGATTTTTAAAAAAGTTATTCTTCTTTCTTTTTCTGTGTGAATATTTCTTTTCTCCCTTTGTCCCTCCTCTGCTGGTTAAGAAGTTATAGATTCCATTTCTATTTAAGTAGATACATTGAGATTAACCCATCTATTTCCTTGGGTCATCACTGCATTTTTTTTAAGAGAGAGAGAGAGAGAGAGAGAGAGAGAGAGAGAGAGAGAGAGAGAGCACAACAGAGAGAGAGAGAGGGAATTTTTTAATATTTATTTTTTAGTTTTTGGCAGACACAACATCTTTGTTTGTATGTGGTGCTGAGGATCTAACCGGGGCCGCATGCATGCCAGGGGAGCGTGCTACCGCTTGAGCCACATCCCCAGCCCTGCATTTTTTTTTTTTTATATCAGGCTTGGGCAGGCATTTGTTCTTCTTTAGCATGGATCAGTTCTTTTCTTTACTAATTATTTAAGAAAGACATACCTTATATCAGCACAATTCTCAGCACTTAAGAGGCAGTAAAGAGCAAAAATAAGTTCCTATGTATTTGAAGTGGGGCAGAATAGTGATAGTATAGCAGGGGTTTAAAGTGATACTCCATGTCATTCAGTCATCTTGACCAAAGGTTGCTCTTCTCAACCATTATACCTCCTAACTGTAACAACAAAAACCAGTATTTCCGAGACATATCTGATCACAAGTTTCATCCAGGATCTTTAATAAAAACATAGATCAGACGGCCTATGACAGACTTTCTGAACCAGAATTTTAAAGCTGGAGAGACTGGAAATGGAAATGCGAAAGGGTTTAATGAACCCCTCAGTTAACTTTTTAATGATCAGACAAGTTGGAGAAACACTGTTTTAAAATATGTGATATGTAAATCAAAAAGTCAGCAAATATAGAAAGAATAAAAGGAAAAGCTAGACTAGGATTGTGCTATAACAAATGTTTCCATCAGCCTGAAGGAAAGGTGCGAATGAAATTAGTAATAAGATGCTGAAGAAAAATGTGGGGAAATGCCTTCAAGTCCCTACTTAAGCTGGGACTACTTTTAGAAGCATTATTAAATTCCAGCACATATGACACATCTATTCCAAAGAAGTTAGATCCAGAATTAAGTAATTTGATGGTTACCTCCCTCATTCTCATAAATAACAACTGCAAGATATTTATACAAAAGGTTTACTCATTATTCAAATTAGTCTTTCATAACTCTACCCACACAAAAATTTATAAACAAAAAAGGATTGAGTGTTTCTATATTCTTATGGACAAACCATCTGCCCCTAATAACCTTAACAATATACTAAAGACACTGTACCCTTTTTTAGAACAAGAAAACATTTTATATCTATATATTTTTGCTATTTCTATATTACAACAGTGTTCCAAAGGCATAAAAGTATAGCATAGCCACACCCTGTGTATAGAAGCTACTGTAAAACTATAGTGATATAAGGATAATTATCCATAATTATCAAATTACTCTAAATTTATAATATTTACTTCTTATAAAATTTTACAGCTTAGGAGATTTTCCAAGTTTTGAAGCATGCCAATTCTGTAGGTTCATTTTTAAATAGGAAAGACTCCTTGAATTGGACAACTAGAGTTCACATTCTGAGATATTTGTAAAATGCTATTTTATACTCCTGTATGGTGAATTTGTTAATTTATTAATATCAGGCTAACAGTATATTGCCTACATCAGTAAACAAACTGTACTGTCAAAAAAAGAAAAGTGTACATTTGACATAAATATTCATGAGAAAATATTATATTCTCACCTATTGAGTCAGGTAACTGTTGCAACATATTCGATGATAATAAGAGGTCCTCAAGGGCTTCACATCCAGAAATATCCATGTCAACGGTTTCTATTCTGTTTTTTGACATATCCAGGTATACCAACATCTTTAACTTCCCTATAGACTTGATGACATTGCATAAACTCAGGGTTAGTTGAGAAACTTTCACAAAACATTTTAAAATTGTCAAAACCATACTCTGGCAAAACTAATTTTAAAATCAACCACAACAATAATAGGTGTTGGCAAAGATACAGAAATATTGTAATCAACCCCCATACATTTTAAATAGGAATGGAAAATGTTGTATCCACTTGGAAAAAACAGTTTGACAGTTTCTCAAAATGTTAAACATTGAATTTTCATATGACCCACAATCTCTACATATATACCTGAGAACAAAAACATGAATGTACATACAAAACCTTACAAAAATGCTCACGGATGCATTAGGCACAATGGCCTAAAGGAGTGACAATCAAATTGTACATGAAATGATGAATGGATAAACAAAATGTGGTTTATCCATAAAATGGAATTTTTTTGGCACTAACAATAAGTGAAGTATTGATACATGCTACAGAGTGGTTGAACCTCAAAAGGTACCTATCACAGAGAACACATATTATAACGATTCCATTTATATTAAATAATTACAACAAACAAGAGACAGAAAGTGGAGTAGGGTTGTTAGGGATTGGGTGGAGGTGGTATGGGAATGACTTCTGATGGAATCAGTTTCTTTCAGGAGTGATGAAAATATTCTAAAATTCAATGTGCTGATGTTTGATAATCATGTGAGCATGCTAAAAACAACTAAATTGTGTAAGATATGGAATTATATCTCAATGAAACAGTTAAAACACATAATATACATCAATGCAATTGTTAAAACAGCAATAATCTCAAACTTATTTCTGAACAATATAACTAATGTTGCCACTGAAATGGTGTTGATATAATGATCCTTAAAATTTAAAATGCATGAGGGATATTTAAAATTGTGATTTTTGACTTTATTCTACTAATCAGATTCAATATTTTGTTGATTTGGCAGTTGCTTTTGAGGATCTACTATGAACCTATGCTTTACACCGGAGAAAATCATGAGTCAGACAGTTAGGTATGGGGACAAACTTGTCAGGATGAAGACAAATTCTCCATCCTTGAGGAGTTCATAGTAGTGAAAGAAACATTTGGATAAATTCATAAATATAATACCCTGTGATAGATACAATACAAAGCACGTAGAGAATGCTACAAAAGAACAGGGGAAGGGTTGCAAATTGTCTGGCAGACACTGCTTGTCAAGAAAGAAGAATCCTAGGAGAGAGAACAGCATGTACATGCACAGAGAAGTGTGAGAAAGCATTGCCTGCTTGAGAAAGAGTGAGAAATTCAAAGTGACTGGAATTTGTGATAAAGTTGGGCTTATAGAGGGAGCCAGCTGGTAAAAGACATTGCATGTCATGTGGGGATGAGAACTCTGTCTTACAGGCAGGAAAGCTATTCAAAAACTTGTGAGATGAGGAACTACATCATTGGATTAATGCTTGAAAAAAATAACTTCAGGAAACCTTCACAAAGGCACATATGTGACTGTAGTTAGGAGCCATTGGAAGTACTATGCTGTCAGCCTACAATATCCACAAGCAGCCATGAGTCAAAATATTCAGAAACATTGCATCTGTACTACAGATGTACTGGGTTTTCCCTTGTCATTAGTCTTTAAACAGTACAGTATTTACCTAGCATTTGTATTGCATCAGGCATTAAAAATAATTTAGATGGTTTAAACTATATGAAAGGAATAGGTAATATGAAAATATTATACTATTTTATATAAGAGATTTGAACATTTGTGGATTTAGGTATCCCAGGGTAAGGGCTATCCTGGAACCAATCTCCAGCAGATATGGAAAGACTACTGTATAAAAGCAGCTTAGTTGTTTAGTAGTTTAGTTCTTAAGGAAATAGGAGTGAGGATGAAGAAGGATGGGCTCAAGTAAAATTTAGAAGTGGAATGACTGGGTTGCTAACTGATTGCTGGGGATGGAAGAAATCACTCATACCATGGACAATGAACAAAGCATAATCACTTAGCTCACACATGGACTATAGGAGTGAGAGCAGGATGAAAGTCTTTATTTTTCTTTACTTTAGGGTATATTTTGCAAATAAGTGTCCTACACATTTCAGAAGCATAATAGTTCATCTATGTGATCTACCCACATACACTTTACTATATCATCTCTACTTATTTGACAGAGTATAGATAAGCAAACATATGTACACACAAGCACACGTCTGACACTGTACTAAATATTTTACATATATATATATATATATTTTAAATACATTTTTATTGTCTTACTAATTAATATTCTTGTGAGTCAAATTGTGTATTGCAGACCAGCAGCACTGACCTCACTTGGGATCTTGTCAAAAAAGTACAATCTTGTGCCCACTCCATACCTACTGAATCACAATCAGCCTACTTTTGTCACTTTATCAGCTTACAAACTGCAAAGACCACTCCATTACACCAGCAGTTCCTGACTACCATGTCCCTAATTAACCCAATACATATCTCCAGTCCCCTTCCTCATCTCCCTAAGTGGTCATGGAAAGAGAGTACTTAGAGAGTCAGACCAAAGGGTTGAGTTTTTTCCATGACTAAGAAATACGTCACTTAGAAAAAAACTGTCACAAATGATTTTGCACCCCAAGAAATCATTATGTTCCCTTAACCCACTCTTGCCTTTTATTAAGCAATAAAAGGATGTTGTATGTGTACGTGTGTTTTTCCTTTTTTGTTCCTTTATCATAAAAACATTTCTTTCATCCTTGAAGTTTCTTTCATTGCTATCTCATTATCTCAAGCACAAGTCAATATTTTTTTTTTCAGTGTACTTTCTGAACATTCTTTTTGGAAGAAAAGGAATGCTTTGGTGTTTACTTCTGAGTCTTTCTCAACCTGCACTTTCAAAGACCTTACAAAAGCATTTAAAGCCTGGTGAAAAGGGCTTTGAGAATAATGTCTCAGAGTCCTTGAGGGTGTTGATCGTATGTCTTTGGGTGTCGAAGGGTTTGTAGGCGAGCACTGGACAGAAAAGGGAAAGAGTGGAAACCATAGGTTGAAGAAGATACTAGAGTTTGAAAATAAATATAGATTCAATACATTGTTTAGTCATATTTTGGTTAATTAACCTTAAAATGATGGTCATAAGATAGTGCCACATAGAAGAAAAAAATTTGAGTATTATCTAGTTGCCTCTTTGATTTATGAAAAACTGAGTAGAAAAATCATAACTGTGGGTGCCTGAGACCAGAGTTATGATCGAAACCTACATATACTGTTTTGTCCATAAATACATAGCTTTGATAAAATTTAGTTTATCAATTATAAACAGTAAGAGATTAAAAATGAATAATCAAACAATAAATAAATAAATAATAAATAAACAGTAAGATAAATAACAATGATGATAAATAAATAAATAGACAAATAAATAAGTCCATACTTCCAAATATGTATTAACTCAAGGCATTATGAATTAAGCAAAAAATGAATGTACTTTTTCGCATCCATGATACTAAATATTTATAATTAATCATTCTGTTATGTAAATATAAGTTGCAGGCTGTGTTCTGCTTTTCAAAGTCAAGTGCTTCCAGGTAATAGAGAAACAGTCTTTTTCAAGTACCAACATTTGGAAAGCGATGGCTATTTATGGTAGGGAGGTATGGGATATTCCCATAGAAGGTAAAACAAAAGGTCAAATTCAAGCATAATAAGTAAAGCAAGGAATCTACTTAAAGCTAGCAGACCATATGAAAAACTGAAAAAAGACACGTTAGGTAGTATTCTATGTTTTATAGATCTCATCGTTGCCTTTCCATTTAAATAATACATTAGGGAATTTGGGGTGCGAGTTGATTTGCACAGCTGGGTTTTGGAAACTATTCATCATGATAAGTATGATGAGTTTAATTCTCATTTGTAACTTCTATTGGTTCCATATAGAGCAGAAGCCTCTTGAACTGGGTTGAGTCACAAGTCCATCATTTACTGGTCGAATGATATTGAGCTAGTTACTTGCCCTTCCTGTATTTCAGTTTCCTTATTTATAAAATAAAGATGGTAAGAATCTACATTACCAGGTTGTTAGGAGGATTCAATGAATCCATATTTGTAAAATATCATGAAAATGTCTAGCTCATGGCACATGCTATGTGTTTTTGAATAAACATGTTGGAGAAGTGGGTGTGAACTTCCAACTAGACATGCATTGTTTCCTCAACCTCTGCACAGGAAATTAGTAGCGTCTTACCCATATTTCTCCAGGATTTGCACATACATAGCAGTCCCTTCTTATTTGTGGGGGATAAATTCCAAGACATTCAGTGATTGAAACCTAAATATACTGTTTTGCCCATGAATATATGGTAAAATTTATGTAAAATACTATGGTAAAATTTAGTTTATCAATTGGGAACAGTAAGAGATTAAACAATGAATAAATAAATAATAAGTATATAACAAATGAATAAACATAAACAATAATGATAATGATGATGAATAAATAATTAAAAATAAACAGTAAAGTAAGTGATGACAACTAATGATAAAATAGAACAATTAAAACAATATATTATAATAAAAGTTAGTTAAAACTTATGTATTGCTTACTTCTGGTTTTATTTTTTTGAACTGCAGTTGACTGTGGGTAACTAAAATTATGGAAAGAAAAAACTGTGGATTTTCTGTTTTCTGGCCATGTTGATAGACGTATATCCTTTTGCTAGGGGAAGAAAACATTTTCTCTACTCTTTCCAAATGTTTTTCTTTCTGTGGTCTCATGCTTATTTAAACAGAGAATAAGCTTCTTGTTCTTGTTGCATGTAAAATTAATTTAAAAATTTTTGTCAATATACACACAAAAAAGGAGCAAAATTGGCTTTTGGAACACACATCTATTTTGTGTTGACTGAAGAATTATTACACACCCAGCTGCTCTGGTTCTCAGTCCGGTGCTAGGTGTTCAGGGTTGGTCAACCACAGGGGACTTGTGCTTGCTCTGCTCGTGTGTGCATGTGTGCATATACTTATTCAAGTGCACGTGCTGTGGGTGGTGAGGGGAAGTGTTCTTTGGGAAGCTATTCTTTCACTAAATTGAGAAAGCAAGAAAAGTCACACTCCACGAGTTGAGAGGTAAGCCTAATACTTAGGAAGTCCCATGGGACTGCCCTTTAATCAAGGGGAAAAAAATGACTGTTCAACTTTTGTTTTTAATGCCATATGATTGTTGCCATTTTCAAAAGTTTAAGTGGGATCTCTTGGACGTTGCCTGAATTAAGAAAGAGATTTTCATCTGTGAAAAGCTCTAACAATACGAACAGAAACCATTCTCTAATTACCTGTAAGAATAGGCTAATTTTGTAAAATAAAATGTGGTATTATATATAGTATTCCTCTTTTCAAAAATAATGATGAATGCTCAGCTTTTAAAAAATAGTGACTATGAAAAGAGATGAAAAATACCCAAGAAAAAAATTTTAATACATTTTGCATACCTGTAACACTCACAGAGACATTTGAAACACTGGAGGACAAATCAGTGAAAACACTTGATGACTGAATACTTCTAGCAAGTGTTATTTTATTTTGAAATGTAAACACTGAGACTTAAGATTTAGGATTGGTTACTATCAAATGCAACAAATGTGTAACATAAATGTTAAACAACATGGCATAATAAAACTTACATACCCCAGGTAGTACTTGTAATGCATTATTATCCATCCATAACTCCCTTAAATTTTGTATTTGATCCAGAACTTCAGGCTGGGAGAGAGGCAGAGAGAAAGGAAGAAAACAAAATGAGTCTTTTCTTGTCATATATATTAAATACTGTTCCTTGGATCTTGAGTTTTTAGTTAGGAATCTGTGTTAATCCTCTCAGAATCTCTAAGTTTAATAGATCTCTAACAAAACTGACAGTTCTTAAGGTAAGAATAACACTAATGAAAATTAAAATCTATTATTCCGACACATTAGTCTATTTCCATAATATCTTCCTATTATTGTTTGTGTCATCAATTATACTCTAATCACTTGATAAGTTTCTTTTTAAAATTTATTTTAATTAGGTATATATGACAGCAGAATGCATTTTGATTCATTGCACATAATTGCAGCACAACTTTGCATTTCTATGGTTGTACATGATGTAGCGTTGCACAATATGTGCTGTCATACAAGTACCTAGGGTAATGATGTCCATCTCATTCCACCACCTTTCTGCCCCCATGCCCCTCCCCATCCCCTTTCACTTTGCCCCATCAAAGTTCCTCCATTTTTCCCATGTCCCCCCCATTATGGATCAGCAACCACTTATCAGAGAGAACATTCAGTCTTTGATTTTTTGGGATTGGCTTACTTCACTTAGCATGATATTCTCCAACTCCATCCATTTACCTGTAGATACCATAATTTTATTCTCTTTTAATGCTGAGTAATATTCCACTGTGTATATATCCCACAGTTTCTTTATCCATTCATCTATTGAAGCGCATCTAGGTTGTTTCCACAGTTTAGGTTTTGTGAATTGAGCTCCTATAAACACTGATGTGGCTGCATGGCTGTGGTATGCTGATTTTAAGTTCTTTGGGTATAGATCAAGGAGTGGGATAGCTGGGTCAGATGGTAGTTCCATTCCAAGTTTTCTAAGGAATGTCCATACTGCTTTCCAGATTAGCTGCACCAATTTTCAGTCCCACCAGCAATGTATGAGTGTGCCTTTCCCCCCACATCTTCACCAACACAATATTATTGTCTGTATTCTAATTATTGCCATTTTGACTCCATCTCGATCTCTTTGTCTAAATGAAGCATATTTAGACAAATGATTCTAGAGAACTAAAACTCAAGGCAGTGGGTGAAAGAACACCTTAGAGAAGTACAGAGAAGGAATGAGAATATGATCAAGCTGTAACACACAGTGCATAGACACACATTCCCTAGTGAGAAGCTCTCTCTAAATTCTGCCTCCTGGACTGTAGACTATATAGAAGGAGAGCAGCTGCTATTGCTGCCAGCATCATTTCTCCTCTGGGGGTGGCCTTTACTGAACTTTTTCCCAGAAATCATCACCTTTTCCACTCTTAGATTATACACCTCCTTTGAAGTAGATTCTTTTTTACTACTCTATGGGATGACGAAGGCCTGAACTAGTTAGTGCACTGTATTTCCCTGACCCTAAGGACTGATTCAGAGATGGAATTTGACCCATTCAAAACCACAGAAGGCAATGAACCTTTGGGACTTCTCAAGGAAAGACTCTCTTCCCTGCTAGATTTGAACTGGAAAGGTGCAGCTCTAGCTATGAGGTAATGGGAGAACCTACCTAAGGATGGAGTCTTTTCAAAGAAACTAGAGCTAAAAGGTTGATCCTTGGTGACACCCTATTATCTTTGAACTAAGTCAAACTTGAAACTAGGTTTTCTGTTTCTTTTATCTGAAATAATTATTGCTCATTGAAAGGATATAATATAAATATGGTTCAATACAATTTGGAACCTAAGTAGGAAGTCAGTGCATTTTATGGAATATTCATGGAAAAGCATAGAATTTTATCAATTGGAAATTGTAGTTCAGTGAAGGTTACACACACACACCCTTGACTACTAGAAGGGCTTCAGATCCATTTTGAAGGTAGTCTCTGATCTCTTTAGTTTGGGATTACAATGGAATATGGTAGATTCCTGGGAAAAGTTTCCTTCATAATAGGGATAAAAGTATAAATTTAGAGACATGGCATTCTACTGTAGAATCAGATTTATGTCAGTAAGTATAGTGAATATTTTTTGTGTAAGAAGATATTCCTACTTTCACTTATAAGTAGCAGCCAATGAACTACCCCACCTATATGTTAGGCTGGGCAAGGATGGAACACATAAATCACTTTAGGAGCTTTTGACATGCAAAGGCTTTGAGGCAGAGGGCTGGCTAGCAACAGATAGGCCACTTTAGAAAACATGAGTTATGTGTCTCAGTTTTTCCTAAGCCTAGGCATTACACAGATTTAAGATGAAGAGAAAGTTCTTACTGGATAAGGTTCAACATTCTTACCTGTATACAATAAGACAGAGGTTAATGCAAAAATTTGTAATAATAAGCATTATTTGGGGTAGACAAGATAATGCTGAATAAATCCTTAATAAATACATCATGAAATCTCAGTGACTTAATACAACAGGCTTACTTTCTACTTCTACTACATGTCCAGCATGGGTTTATTCCTCACATACTTATGATACCACCAACCACCATCTCAAGACTTCCAAAAGAGCCAAAGCAGGGAGAGAGAGAGTGAAGAAAACTTATCACTGCTTTTAAAGATATTGGACTGGGTTTGCCATAGATCATGTATACTTATATCCCATTGTCTAGAAATACTTTCATGGCCCCAGTCTAAGGGCAAGGAAGGTTAAAGAGTATAGGAAGAGTTTATGGAATGTTTGGAGAACACTACTATCTCTGCCACACAATGATACTATACAAAAAAGGGAATGATATGTGTAGCACTTTTATAATCGATCCATCCCTTAACTAAGTACTTATTAAACATCTTCTAAGTGCTAGGCATTACACTAGAGTCATATGTATAGAGTAGCCTCTGACTTTAAGAAACGCACATTCTAGTTATAAAGCAAACACTCAAAGAGTAAATATATCATATTATGGGAACATAAAGGAAGGGAATCTATCTGCTTCAGGAATTCTCTGAGGGAGAATTCACAGAGCTGAGATGAGGAGTTGGCCAGTAAAGAAGGGAGGAAAGGAAGTACATTTTAGTCAGAAGTACAGTGGTGAGAAATAACATGATGTGTGAATAGAAGGATAGGCAGTTTGATTTACGTAACTTTGAGTCAGAGTGAGTAGTATGAAGTGAGGCAGCAAAGGAAAACAAGGATTTACAAAGATCTCGTTTTTTTTTTTTAAAAGAAGATAGGAGTTTATTGCTTGGGGGAAGGAGAATCACTAGAAAAATTTTAATAGGAAGTGATTTTGATAGAGTGGTATTTTTATTTATAGATATCTAATATAAATAAAACTCTAAATTGATACAAAAAAGAAAAAAATTTAGACATGAAAACAGATTAAGATTGGTAATGAAAGAGATATTAAGGAATAGAGAGAAGTTGGATTAAGGAATCCTCAACACTGTCAAGACCTTCAAAAATGAGGACAGCCTGAGAAACCACCACTGCCAAGAGGAGCCTAAGGCATGAAAACTAACGTGATATGAAGTTCTGAATGGGATTCTGGAACAGAAGGATGGCATTGGATAAACACTAAGGATATCTGCTATGGTTTGGATAAGAGGTGTCCCACAAAAACTCCTGTGTCCATGCAGGAATGGTCAGGGGTGGAGTGGTTAGATTATGAGGGCAGTCACCTAATATGGATTAATCCATCTCATGGATTAATAATTTGAAAGATGAACTGTACTGGTTGGTAACTGTCGGTAGGTGGAGTGTGGCTAGGAGGTGGATTGCTGGGAGTGTGCCCTAGGGGATTATATCGGATCCCCCTGGCTGCTCCCCCTGCTTTGCTTCCTGGCTGCCATGAACTGAGCACCTTTCCTCCTGCAGGCCCTTCTGCCATGATGTTCTGCCCCCACCTCAGGACCAAAGCAATGGAGTCTGCAGACCATGGACAAAACCTTGGAATCTGTGAGCCCCCAAACTTCTCCTACTCTAAGTTGTTCTTGTCATGTATTTCGGTCACAGAGACAAAAATCTGACTAAACACAAAATCGGGATAAAGGATGGACTCCATTAATAATAATGTATCAATATTGGTTCATTAATTATAACAAATGTACTGTGGTAATATAAAATGTTAATAATAAGGGAAACTGGGTGGGGGTATATGGAAATTCTCTATACTACTTCATAATTTACCCGTAAACCTAAAACTGCTTTAAAACTTAACGAAATGATTTAATATTAGGAAAAACCCTTAAAAGTATACAAAGCATAAGGCCTCTCATTTTAAATTATTGTATTCAACAGATATAAAATTACTATCAAATCTCTAAATGTTATAAAGTTTTTAAATTCTCCTCTCAATTTCCATATTTATTAAAGATTTTTAAAGAATGAAAAAAAAAAGAATCATTTAGAATATAAAAATGGTAGAACTTGGTGACTGGATGCAGGGTGAGGTGAGGGAGTCATGCATGTCTCTTCAGAACATCCAGGCAAAAGCGGATACATGACAGAGACTTAACTCAGTTTTGATCAGATTAACTTTTCTTAATATTTATTTTTTAGTTGTAGTTGGACACAATACCTTTATTTTATTTATTTATTTTTATGTGGTGCTGAGGATTGAACCCAGAGCCTCACACGTGCTAGGCAAGTGTTCTATTATTGAGCCACAATCCCAGCCCTTGATCATGATACATAGGTGGAGATGTCCAGGAATCAGCTGGTTATTAAATCTGAAGCTCAGGGAATTGGTTTTGTTGGAGATAAGACTAGGTATTTTGTGGAAGTCTAAAGCCATGCAGATGGGGAATGTGAAGGGAGGCAGAAGTACAGTTAACAGAGGAAGGTGCTTTGGCTAACACTAAGCCCTGAATGCTGATAAAAGGAGTAACCTATTTGGAGAAGCCAAGAAGAAATGGAGTTCAGGAGAGTTTGGGGTTACTGGAGTCCACTGACTAGAGCTATATGAGGAATAAGGAATTGAACAAAAGTATCATTCGTGGGATAGGAAAGTATGGTCAAAATAAGATTGCTGTTTTGGAAACAGCAGGCAGGCCATTGGTAGTC